TAAATTATTAAAAACGCGTGAATTGTTTACGTAGTATAACAATATCCGATAGATCAATTAAAGAGTTATGTACATAATAATTAGATTATTATTGAAAACAAAACGTAAACATTATCATTATCAAAAAAATTATTATTATTATTGATTTATTTATTAATCTATTAGGAGTAAGTAAAAAGAAAATTACTTACGCTTACTTATTGATGTTATAACGCGTGCAAACCTATTACAAATAATAATAATAGAATTGATAATGGTAATAATAATAATAATAATATTTTTTCTCGCAGGTACCTTAATTTTTTTTAAGGTACAGAGATTTTTTTTATGTCTATTTAAAATGCGTAGATAGATTTTATATTTAATCCGCCATAATTTATTCAATTTCGAATTTCGATTTTTTTTTTAATAAAAATTTTTAGTTAAAACTTGTTTTTATAAACATTTTCGATTGTTGTTAAAATGTAGGTATTTTCGAGGAAAAAGAATTATTATTATTATTATTATCGTTAAATATTTCGCGGGAAAATTTTATTTTTTTTTATATTTCACGGTAAAAAAAATTCCTGTTATAAAAATAATTGAAAAGGTCCTCCACCATCACCACCACTACCAATTTCATTGAAAAGGGGTTGGTAACCCTGGCCTTTTTATTTTTTAAAGGGTCACTCGGAACCTTTTTTTTTTTTTTTAAAAAAAATCCTTTGCTATGGCGACTAATAAATCAACAGACAATAACAAAAAAAAAAGACTATCAAAATAAAATTCTAAATTTTTCTTCTTCTTTTATTTCCCTTAAAAATACAATATAAAAAAAAAAAAACCGAATTCGGTGAGAGCTTATATATATTTTCTCTCTCTCTTTTTTTTTATATTTATTTCTCTCTCTCTCTCTTTCTTTTTATAAGAGTCGACACATATATAAGGTAACTGTTAAATGCTCGAGGTCTCTTATTGTTGCAGCCCAGTTGTTTTATGACCCTCGACAAAGGAAACATTTACCTTCGGATAAGATCTTAAAAAAAAAGTTTGTTCGTCCTTGGTCGGGGTTGAATTTCGAGGGGTTTTCTCTCAGGTATTTTCAATTCTTTTCGGTTTGACCCGCCCGGGATTTTTTTTTTTATTTTGTGAATAAAAAAAAAAATTTTCCAAGACTTTTATTAAAAAAAAAAAAAAAAAAAAAACAGGTAAATTTGAAATTAATGCTGCCTCTCTTTACTCTTCGATTTACTCGCGATAAACTGATAATATCACAAATTAATTAAAAATAAATAAATAATAATTATTATTATTATTACCACTCGTTATTAATAAGGATTTAAATGTTGATAATATTTTTAATAAATAATATTAAAATCGCGGCGTTAATACGTCGATAAGGTTCGTAAGGTACGTAAAAAAAAAAAAAAAATCGTAATAAATTTACGCTATAAAATGCACTTATAACCAGTTTAACGCGATTAATACAATTTAACGTTTTTTTTTTGCCATGATGATGATAATATTGATGGATCTGATGCTATTTCGATAAGAGATTTGTGCGTGAAATTACGCAATTCGTTTAATATTAAATAATAATAATAATTTTTGTATTTCGACGACGGTAAAAAGGTTCGAAACTCAAGAGAACGTATCGTCATCTTAAGACACACGCACGCACACGCACACGCACCCAAAAAAATTTCTTTTTGTTCGTTCGTTCGTTCGCACGAAAGCAAAACTTATTATTATTATTATTTTTTGTTAAAAACGTATACAATATAAAAAACGTGACTATGAGTGGTTTACTAAAGATTATTTCAATGAAAAGAGAGAGAGAGAGAGCGACGGGGGGAGGGGGTAAAAAAAGAAAAAAAATGCACGAGTAAACGTATTTATATCATACTTTTTTTAAAGGGATGATATTTTAGAGACCATTTAATAATAATAATAATTTATTTAATTTCAACCCCTTGAAAAACAAAAAAATAAACAAATGAGGGAATGATAGTTAGTAGGCGAACGATACGAGTGAGAGAGAGAGAGATGGAAAAACAACGAAAAATCCACTTTCACAATTTTTTTTTACCTTTTGGCAAAATATTTAAATATCTCGCACGCTTAAAAAAAAAAAAAAATAAATAAAATTTACGACTTTGATTTTGGCATAAAATAAATAAATAAATAAATAAAGTGTAAAATTTATTTATTTCTATAATTTTTTCTTTTTTAGGGTCAAATCAAAACCGATCGTTAAAAAGTATAAAATTAATGGGTTATTAATTTGATTTGTTTTCATTCTTTTTGTCGAAACCTTAAATTACGATTATTCAGGCATACCAACAATAAAAAAAAATATCTACAACTACTTATTTTCATCATCATCATTATTTAATGTCGGGTTTAATGTAATAATAATAATAATAATAATAAATTCGTTTTTTTTTTTTTGATTTATTATGTGATTTTTTGTTTATGGTTAAATTAGCTTAGGCGTTTAAATTTCGATAGATTTCCTTATCACTTTGATAAGGTTAGGTTATAAGGATAAGTAAAAATGGCCGATCTGATAGAATATTATCACACACAAACGTAAAAAGTCATTAAAAATAAAAAATATAAAAACATATGTACAAGTGTTTCTCTCTGTCTTGTCTCTGTGTGTGTGTGTATCTTTTGAGAAGTTTAAAAACTCGTTTCTTTAAAAAAAAAAAAAAATAATAATAATAATTAATTTTTATTCAATGTTTCTTCTGCTGCAAATTATTTTTTTTTTTTGCAAAGGGAATAAATATTAAATACGATACGTTTAAATTCAATAAAATAATAATTTTTATTACGACGTTTCGCGGTATATTGATTTTAACGTTGTTTTATTATTGAACCCTAAGACCTTCCCCGCCTTCTCTCTGCCCCCCTCACTCTCTACTTATCTTACGTTAAATGTTAATGAATAATATTTCTAATTAAAAATTCTGTATTGATTATTAATAATAATAATGAGAAAAAAAACACGAAATGCAATTTTTATATTTAATATAAATAACGTCCCTTTCTGTTTAACATTTTTATTTAAAAAAAAAAATTATTATTTAAATTTAATCATTTCGATGTTTATTTTTACCTACCTGATTTTTTCTTCCCCCCCCCCCCAAACCTGAAAATAATAATAATAATAATAATTAACAATAAAATTGTCAGCGTTAAAAAAAAAAAAAAAAAAAAAAAAAAAAAAAAAAAAAAATTTTCTCTTGAGTCACCATAAACCTTAAATATCCTTTACATAAAATTATTTATATAAAAAATGACATGTACAGGTACATAAAGGTTTTTTAAAAATTAAATTTATTAATTAATGTGAAAATTATTTACTGAATTTATTATTATTATTATTATTATTTATCTGACGATTATATTACTACTGACAGGAAAAAAAAATGTTATTTACATTTCGAATATTTAATATAATACGAATTAATAGTTATTATTATTATTATTTAAAAAAAACGGTTGCTGAGAAAATTGTGTTTTAAAAAAAGACATGTTAGTTAAGAAAAGGTAAACATTTTTTATGTTGTGCCGCGTAAAAAAAAAAAAAAAATATAATTTTATTTTATTTTTTTTTATTTTTCGCAAGGAAATATTTTGCCAACTTAATGAAGCGTCACGAATGATTTAATGTCCTTACTCCCTTCCCGCCATTTTATTTTTTAAAAAAAAAGTTGAAAAAGAAAATGTCGAAATCATTTAATGGAAGTTTATTTTTTTTTTTTAATAATAACAAACGAGAATTTTATTTTTAGTATTTTTTTTTTACTTTAATTAATTCGTATTATATTGATAATTCTCTCTCTCTCTCTCTCTCTCTCTCTCTCTCTCTTTCTCTCCTTTTCTCTTTCTTTCTCTCTCTCTCTTTCTCTCTATCTCTTTTCCCACGTTTTCCAACCCGAAATTTTCAATTGTACGAAAAAAAAACTTAATAAATTCAGGTTCGAAAACGTTTTTACGATCCCGTAATAATAATAATAATAATAATAATAATAATAATATTGTTATTAATACAGTAAAATGTTATGGTAGCTATAATAACAACAACAACAACAACAAATTGTAGGTGTTTACGACGTATTAATGACGATGGTATCGTTTACCCGTTATATTCAATTTTAAAATAACAAAAAAAAAAAATTGCAACTTAATTAATTATATTATTATTATTATTATTATGGTCACTTATTTATTATTATTATGTTAATAATACTACGTATTATTGTCTTGTACGAAGTTGGTATAATTTTTTTTTTTTTTTTTTTTTGTATTAAAACACAAAAAGAAAAAAATTTTTTTTTGCCATTGCCTTGTTTTATTTTTCCATCGACGATTGTATTTAGTCACGGCGATTTTTTTATCTACGTCATTTCCTTTTTGATTTTTTTTTTTTTTTAAGGAACTACATGGCGATAGGTAACACAATGGCACAATTGGAATGTTTCGTAATTTTTTTTGAACTTTGTATACACGGATAAACAAAAGTTTCCTGAATTATTATTATTATTTTTTATTTTTATGCGTGTGCGCGGGCGCGAGCGCGCATGCGTTGATGAAATCGTTGCGAAAATGGAAAATTTTTCAGTTGGAAAATTTTTTTTTTTGAATTTTAAATATTTTGATGCAAAAAAAAGGAAAAAATAAAAATCTGAAAAACTTTTTGTTTTTAAAACAAACAAAACAAAACAAACAACAACATAACAATTTATTTAAATTAATTTTTCTTTTTTTTTTTTTTTCAGGTTTTGCCGTTGCGATAAAGAAAAATATGTTTGGAAAATTAATGTGAAAAAATTATTCGTTACCGGAAAATAATTAAAGAAGTCGAGAAAAAAATTTTTTTAAGGAAAATACTCAGCGCCGAAAAAGACAAAATGGGCGATTAAAAAGGAAAATAATAAATAAAGAAAAATAAAAGGAATAGAAAAGAAAAAAAGGGAAGCGACGAACGTAAGCCACCGTCGTCTATGTAAATGGCTACGTCATTTTCCTCGAACAATCTTTCGGCGGAATCAGGAAAGAACGCTTATTGTGATCAAAAATTAACAAACAACAATAACAACAGCACGAATAACAACAACAACAACAACAATAATAATTTTTATATACAAAGCGCGTCGTATTTATTGAAATCGCATAAAAGTGACGGGATTAATAACGGTAGTGGCGGCGGCGGCGGAGGAGGTGGTGGTGGTGGCGGAGGCGGTGACGGTGGCGGTGGCGGTGGTGGAGGAGGTGAAATCCTCCAAAACTCCCGACTCGATTTCAATGCAGGACATTTGAAAAAAGATGATTATTTTAAAAATATCACGGAAAGAACAAACGATTTCACGGATAAAATTGATTTTTTTCGCGGTACAAATTTTTTAAATTCGGATTTATACCGTTCGAAATCCCCAAATTCCGACTACGGAAGAAATTATCCTGATTTATATTCCGGGAAACCGGATGCTAAAACGGAATATTTTCGTCAAAGCGTCGCCGAATACTATCGTAAAAACCCGAATGATTTTTACTTTCGTAACGAAACAAAATCTCCGGATTATTTAAAAACAGCCGCCGCTGCTGCTGCCGCCGCCGCCGCCGCCAATTCCGCCAACACCGATTTGTTTAGATCGGACTCGAAAAGGGGAGGTGATTTAATTAAAAACGGTGAAAAAAGTCCCGGTTTAGATTTTCTCAAACCTACTAAATCTCTCAAGGATGACATAATATACAAACAGCAAAAAGTTGAAAGTTTAGATTTCCGACGTAAGGGTGACGGATTCCGAAAGGATACCGATGGAGAGTTTTTAAAACCGAATTGTGATTTTGGTAAACAACAACAACAACCGGAAGTGTACAATGATAAAAGTGATTATTACAGTGAAGTGAATAACAAAACGGCAAACGATTATTTTAGAAAATCCCCGGAATTTTTCCGGCCGACAGATGATAAGAATATAGAAAGGTGCAGTGTGATATCGAATCATTCGGATAATTCCCATTTGAGTACAAATTCAACAGAAATATCCCATCTAAGGCTGAAAATAAACGACGATAGTGATTTCTTGCCACGTGAAAGTGCTGTGAACGGAGTGATGAATATAGTGAACGCTAGCATTTCCGGGTATCATGCGGCAAGCTCATCTCCTCCCATATCCGGTAGCGAGATGAAGTACATGCCACCGGGACAACACCATCATCATCATCACCATCATCACCAGGTAAATTTTAATTCATTTATTTTATTAACATACCAAGGCGAAAGTAACTTTTCAACAGCAGCAGCAACAGCCATCGACCGAGTTTTCTCTCTCTCTCTCTCTCTCTTGCATTGTGTGTTTTTAACGAAAAACATACAACCCGTACTATTCAGCGACATTTTGTTTTTTTTCTTTTCTTTTTTCATACGTTGTAAAAAAAAAAATTTTTTTAATATAACAACAACAACAAAAAGAAAAGAAAAAAAAAGGCGGCGAGACCCTAAAATTTTAAACGGGGAGGTAAATAAGTGCGCCTCCCCTTTAAGCATGCGCTTTTTTATAATTTTTATTTTGGATCCCATTTTCATATTGACTTTTTCCCTTTTTTTTCTTTTCTTTTCTTTTTGATCCCGTTTTGATATACACGATAATAGAATTTTATTTGAATCCATTAATTTTCCTTTTCTTTTCTTTTAAATTTTCCTCTATCGAATTCAAATGTTGTGGATTATCATCTTTTACTTTCTGTTTTTTCTTTTCATACAAAATTTAAAGTGAAAAAAAAAGAAAAAAAAAACTAAAAAGAAAGAAAAAAGGAAGTTACAATTAGTGTAATGTTATATTGTCCTAGAAAGAACAAAAGACTAAATTAAGAGAAATCTTTGAGAAAAAAAAAAACAAAATGGTGAGACATCATCATCATCATCATTATCATCATCATCCTTTTCAATTGTACATACATTCGAGTTTGATATTTTTTGACATGTTAAAATGAAATCTATTTTAGATTTTTATCGAAGCAAAAAAAACTATTTTTTATTAATTTAAAAAATTTACTTCTCTCTCTCTCTCTCTCTTTCTCTCTATCTCTCTCTTTTTCATAATAATCGATCAAACGGTTTAAAATCGATAATAATAATAATAATAATAATAAAAAGAAAAATGCGAAATAAAAGTGTCGTGAAATTAAAGTTAAATAATTTAGCTTTTTTGGGGATTTCTTTTTTAATAAAAATCGATATCGATCAATACTTGTCATAACATAATTGAAATATTTCTTTTGCAGGAGCAGAGCAGGTTTTTTTTTTAAATAACCTAAACTCGCGCATGCGTATTAAGTTGTCACAAATTTTTTTTTTTTCCTCTTTATTTATTTTTTTTTTTTTTATTAAATCGGTATATAAATTATTAAACATTATCGTCGTCGTTGTCACCGATTCAAGTTTTTTTTTTCGGGTTTCTGGATGATAATTGATCAGAGAGAGAAAGAGAGAGATAGAGATAGATAGAGATAGAGACGCCATATTTTTTTTTTTTTTTAAAAAAAGGCATGTGTCTCGGTGGCTGGCGAGCATCATCACATCCTCTAATGAAACCCGCGTCACAGGTTCAATTCACGTCAAATTTTTTATTTATTTATTTATTTTTATTTTATTTTGAAATTTTACGATTGCATTTCTCGCCTTAAATGATGTTTTTTAACGTATAAAATTGATTTATTATTATCATTATTATTATTATTAGTTATTATACAGGTACTTTGAGGTGGTATTTTTTCCTTCGCGATATAAAAAAAAATTTTATTTTTATTTTTTTTTTGTATTTGGCCGCATATGAAAGTCATCGAAATCAATTATTATTATTATTAATTTTGCTTTCTTTCGGGTCGTTATTATTTTTTTACGAGAGAGAGGGAGAGAGGGGGGGACAGGTTGTCACAATGATGAATTTCATGTTAAACGTTGGCAAAAAGATTCACCCGAGACCGTAAATCATCGAATGGTGGGTAGTCATAGTAAAAAAAAAAAAAAAAAAAAAATGAAAGAACGAACGACTTTTCGAAACTCTTGCCCACCTGCCATATTATCAACATTCATTTGGTGTGTGTGGCTACTCCTCATCGGGTATAAATATCTCCGACACGTTTCAGGTACGGGTTTTTTTAAAAAAAAACGAAGATGAAGATGAGAAAGAGTCTCCGATGATGGCAAAACGTATCGTGAGTTTTAAGGTATTTTTGTTGGTAGGTAGGCTCGAAAAATTCAGGAAATTTTATTTTCATTTGATTTTTTTTTGTCGTCTTGTTGTTGTTGTTGTTGTCGACGGCATCGGCGTCAACGACGCACCCTTTTTTTTAAAAAAAAAATTTCACCTTCCTGCAAATTTTTTTTTTTGGTTGGTTACCACTTTGATAAAATTTCAAAATTGTTATTTCCTTATTTGGTTTTAAACAGAAGAAAATAAAAAAAAATTTTTTTATGGCCTTGTTTTAAAAGAGATACCTTAATTTTATAAAAAAAAAAAAAAACAAACATGTAATCAATTCAGGTTTCTTCGTCGTTTGAGGCAAAAGAAAAAAAAAAAAAACCCCGTAAAAATTAACAAATTTAATTCTCCCCTCTCCCCTCCCCCTCTTCCTCCTTCTGTCCCCCTTCTCTCTCTAATTTCGTCTCTCCATTCCATTAGAAAACAAATTTTTAAATTTTACGATAATTCAAAAAAAAAGGCGCGAAAAATTTTAATCGTGAATTAAAATGCGGGGGGGGGAGGAAAGAGATTAAATTATTAATAATAATAATAATTGATTGTTAATGACCCGAAAATAATAAAAGAATAATTTAAAAAAAAAAAAAAACCTAATTTAATCTGATTGAACCTGATTATTTTTGACTTTAATCTTTCGCTTATTGTTTTCATTTAAATTAATTTACATTTATTATTATCATTATCATTATTATTATTATTATTGTTAAAGACGTGCATAATGATAAATAATAATAATAACGTTGAAAACTTTTTCACTCTCTCTCTTTCTCTCTCTTATATCGTTCGTTTTAATGCGTTTTTCATCTTTTTCTATCCTTTTTTTTTATTTTCTTTCTCTCTCTAATTATTTTTATTTGATAAACGTAATGAGTGCCCTCGGTGATGATGATGATGATGATGGTATTTATTTCGTAGCGGATTCGATGATTGATTTTCTGTAAATTTTCTCCCGAAATACCTACCGGAAAAGGAAAAAACAAACAGGTACACGCGATTCGTATAGAAATCGGGGCGAGGTACGAGTTTTGTTATTTTTGCCGAATATTTTTGGAAATTGAGTAAAAAAAAAAAAAAAGGTAAAAACTAGAAAATTTCGTCTAGTTTTATTATATTGAATTTATTTAACAGGTTTCAGGTTCGGATAATTTTTTTTTTTTTTGAAAAAAAAGCAGAAGAAAAAAAATTTCCATAAAATATATATTTTTTCAAAAACGTTTTTTTTTTCTGTGTTTATTTTTATTATCATTATCATCATCATCATCATCATCATCATTATTATAAGTAATTTTTTTTTTTTTTTTAAATTCGATTGATTCGCGTTGATGTTTGTTGTTGTTGTTTGTTGGTTGTTTCCGTTCGAATTCTCTTCTTCTTTTTTTCACGATGCCTACGGTGATGAATCCTTGTTTTTTTTTTTTTTTTATCTAAAAGTTAATCTCGGGTCATTAATAATTTTTGTTTATTATCATCTCAAAAAATCTTTTTTTTTTTAACTTAATTGTGAGGCACGGTCAGTAATTGTTGTTGTTGTTGTTGTTTTCTTGGTTGTTTTGGTTGTTGTTGTATAATAAGAACGACATTGATTGTTCGGTAGTAATGGTTACAAACACCAACCTTGCAATTGTAAGTAATTGTCGTTGAAGAAAACAAATTGTGACGTCATTTTCTTTGTAATCCGTTTCATAAATATCATTCCAGGTGTTTGTTCAAATTGTTTGTCCAGGTTTGTCCGTGTTTGTCGTCGTCGTTTTCATTCATGAAAAGTTATTGGCGAAAGTTTTCCATTTCCCATCTTTTTTTTCCCCCTTTCATTTTTTTCCCGCGTTTTTTTCTTTTCCGACGCACACGAAAAAATTTCGATTTATATTAAAGATGATGATGATAATAATAATGATAATAATAATAATTTTATTATTATTATTTTTTTTTTTCTTTCTAGAAAAATATAAATAATGCATTCGTTAAATTATATACGAGTTTTCTCCTCTCTTTTTTTTTGCAAAACTTTTTTTTTATAGCGAAATAAAAATGTTTTGGTGGCCACCAGTTGGCAATACGTTTTCGTAAACTGGAATTTATAAATTCAGGTCACAAAACGTCCCTTGAACTCTCTTCTCCTCATATATTTTATGATTTTTTTTTTTTTTTGCGTAACGTTTATTCTTTGCGATTTTTCTTCTTTTTTTTCTTCCATATATTAAATTTTATTCGAGTTGCTTTAAAAAAAAAAAAAAAAATAATTTATTATTTACCGAACGGATAAAATAATCCGTTCGGACGAGAAAATCGTAGGAAAATGTAAGAAAAGCTGCTGCTGCTGTTGCGAGAATTTTCCCGTTCGCATAATATTTTTTTAAATACAAAAAAAAACAAACAAAAATCATCATCATCATCATCATCATCATGATCATTATCATTGGGGGAGGGGAGGAAATGGTAGTTTACGTACGCAACCCGAACGTTTCGTTACATTTTTTTGTTTTTTTTTTTTTTTTTAAATTTAAATTTGTCGTGAGTCGAATTCGAAAAATGCCCGTCGCGTTCGATATATCGAATCCAATCGAAATCGTCATCGATTTTTTTTGCTTTTTTTTTTCCCAACACTTCCGGTTTAAAATTTTTCCATTTTATTTGAGAGCGCACGCATGCGTGAGACCACATATCCGTAATGATTATTTTCGGTTACGGTCCAAGTGAAAATCATTTGTGACATTATTATTATTATTATTATTATTATTATTATTATTATTATTATTATTATTATTATTATTATTATTATTGTAAAACAACGATTCGTACCTTTCTCTTTTTCTTTTCGTTATTTATATACGATGCCAAACGGAATGAATTTTTTTTTTTTTTTTTTTTACTTTTGGCATTTAAAGATGCGTAGGTATAGGTGAAAATAGAAGGGAGAGAGAGAAAGGAGGGAAGAAGGGAATACGGGGGGAGGTGGAGAAAGGGAGGACAAGTGTTCATGTAAATTATTCAATGGTGGTACGATGATAAAAAAAAAAAAATACGCAGCGGGATGTTAGGTTTGGTTTTGCTTTTTGTTAAGGTTTGTAAAGCCACGATTAGAATCCGCGTTTTTACCTTTTCTCTCACATGATGAATAATGACCATCAACCGCACGCGCATGAATGATTAAATTTATTATTATTATTATTATTTGAAATGATTTAAAAAATGGCGGTCCTTCTTTTTTTTTGTTCACGCGTAAATCACGATTTGGTCGCGGATGGTAAATTTAACCAATTTTTTTTTTTTATATATTTAATTAAGTTCGAATGAAAGAAAAGTTAATTCGAATGCGAATCACGTGATGACTTGCCTGAAATTCTATTTTTTAAAAAATTGGTTTTCGCTTAAATGAAAAAAAGAAGGTAGTAGAAATTTTTTTTTTGTTACACTTGTTTCTCGTACCTGAAAACACGCGAGAGAAACATTCGATCGTACAGGTGTATAGCCCACGCACTTTGTCCGAACCTTAATTCGAACATAAAATAAATCTTTCGAATTTAAATCGAAAATTTCGAGATATTAAATCGAAAATCGTGGTGGTAGTAAACTCGAAAGGGTTGATGTCCGTAATCGTAAAAAAAAGCAGAAGAAAAAAAGAGGCGGGGAAAAGAAAAGGAAAAAAAAATAATTTGAATGATTTGTTACTTCCTACCTGACAAATAATGACAAGGTACGATGATGATGATGACGACGACGACAGACGTTGCACGCAATCCTAATTAAATCTTAACAAATTATGTCATTATTGTGTACCTAATTTTAATAATTATTATTATTGGCACATTTTCATTAAAAAGGTATTTTATTCTCTTTAGAGAGAGAGGGGAGGGGGGCAGGGGGGAAATTTAATCAAGGTGAAAATTAAGGTGTTATCATTTTTTTTTTTTAGGTTTTACCTGTTTGAAATTTTATTTTATTTATTGTTTGAAATGAAAAAACATTTTCATTTTTTTTTCTTCTTTCCCATTCAGGTTCTTTTGGTGATTTTTTCTATCTCTATCTCTCTTCCTCTCTCTATTTATACAAAACCTGTTTGTAAGTGGCGTGACGTAAAAAATGTGTGAATTAAACTCTATTGTCTTCTCTTATTCTTTTTTTTTTTCTGTGGGTTTTCGATAATGCGAACCTGATTTTTTTTTTTTTTTTTTGAATAACGGAAATACCTACTTGTGAATGAATTCTTTTTTTAAAAAGATACGATAATGATAATAGAGAGAAAAAAAAAATTTTTGATTGTAACGGCCTTATACCCGACACAGAATCATTATTATTTGGATAAACTATTATATGTAAATTAGGTATATTATTAGGTGTGTGTTTTTCAGCACCTGCTAATGTTAAAAATAGGCTTTTAGTACGTTTTGAATGTCGATACGAAAAAGAAAGCAGACGACGATATTTTAAATTTTTCCAAAAAAAACCCGGGAAAATCTTATCAAACAATCCGTGTTAGTTTCCCCTTTTTCTCTCTCTCTCTCTCTCTTTCGAAAAAAAGAAGAAAAAAATTTCCATTAAATATTTTTTTAAAAATTAAAACCACGCCCATTTCATTCGTATGTAATTACTTAGTATTATTATTATTATTATTTTCAGGTACAGTCATCCTCCCCTAATGGTCATCCGGTTTCATTATCCGCGGCGGCAGCTCACAATCCGTGGGTTTCTCTACAACCCGGCGGTGGAGGAGATCCTTGGAGCACGACAATGGGAGGCATTCATCACACTCATCACCATCATCCACATCAACCGGCAACGGTCGATATCAAACCTCCAGACATGCATAGGTAAGCAAATTGAAAAATTTTTTTTTTTTAACTTCGTCTTGATTCGTGAATTCGTTTTTACTTCCGGTCTGTCACGATAAGGTTTTTATTTCCGGTATTACCGATGATTCGTTTTTATAAGGTTCGTGTCGTTGCCTTTTTGTTGTACCCGACGTAGTCGTTCGTTTCGTTTAAAACGTAAAACCTCACGGATAATTTAATGTGTTGGAATTCTACGAGTTCTCAAGATGGATACCTACCCTCCCCCTTCCCCCTCTCTCTTCTCAATAATTAATGACACTCGCAGTCTTTTTTTTCTTTTTCAATCGCTATTAATTACCATAAAATTAATGGTAATAATTTTTTTTTTTTTTATTACGCTTATACAAATGTTGGTTTGAGGCAAAACCACCGTGACTCGACTCCCTTCAAATTAAGAAACGCTTCAAAACCGTTTGGTTATTAATTTCGTCCTTTTAGAAACATTTAAGGTTTCGAAACCTTCCCCCGACATCATCGTCGAAGGGTTCAGGAATAATAAAATTTTATAAATTTCAATTTATTAATAGCGTCCGTTTGTTATCAATGATTACACGTTGACCGTAAGCCAAACTATTTTTTTTTTTTTTTTCCATCGCGCGGTTGCCAAGTATAATTTACACACACAGTCGGCCATTTTTTTTTTTTTTTTAAACAAATAAGGGCACACACATACACACACAATTCAGCTATATATATAAAAAAAAATTTTAGTTAGTAAGTGGTTGATGAAACGTTTAAATTTCAAAACAAATTTTTTTAACCCGCCCATAAACTTTTTTTTTTTTTTTTTTTTTTTTTTTCATTGCCATTTTGAAAGTGATGATAAATGTGATGGCGTTTCAAAATTTTTTTTTTTTTAAAACTACAACTAATCGTAACTAATCACTTGAAAAAAAAAAAAAAAAAATTCTTCAACTGATTTCAAGGACTGTGTTGGTCATCAAGATTTGCGTTTTGGATATTAAAAAAAAACGTGTAAGAAGAAGAAGAAGAAGAGTGACACTTTTATATATATTTGACAGTTTGACATTAAAGGTGTGTGTTTGTCAGGTATCATTGTCAGCAGCAGAATATATAACCGGTTGTTGTTTGTTAAAAACAATTGGATCTCTTATAAATTATTACGTAAGAGGAACGATTGTTGTTGTTGTTGTTGTTTTTAAATGGAAAATTTTTTTTTTAATGAATGGCGAGAAATATACTAAAAGGTTGTTGCGTTTGTTGGAAATTTTTTGTTGAGTGTGTGTCCTTTTCTTGCTCAACAATCAAGTTGATTAATATAAGAAAAAATCTGCGTAATAATAACAGGGTGACACAATTGAAAATTTTTTTGTCTTCTGTTTTTTCGAGATTGTTGTTGGTTGTTGGTTGTTGTTGTTGGTAATCGCTATTTATATCTCGGCTACTGGAAGGTCGATGAGATAATCACACGGTTTTGTTTGTTGTTGTTGTTGATGGTGGTGACCTGTTGTGAGGTGAAAGTCTAGCGGGGTTAACTATCATTGTAATATTACGTTAAATAAAGAGAAGGATAAACGTTTTGTAACATATTTTATCGCCATAAAAAAAAAAACCCGGGTTGCCAACAATGGAAATATTGTGCGTCGCACTGTAATATTATTATTATTATATAAACCATCGTATAAAATAATTTTATCATAAATATAATGATAATAATAATAATGATAATAAAAGTCGTATTATAAAAATAAGCTCGAAACTTTTATATATATGTATACAAGTATTTAATTAATCGTAATTATTTTTGCAAAATCACCTTGTAAAAGGCTATAGAATGACGTCATTACATATATTTATATACTTGCTTATATTTACCATGTTGTACGAATGCAGTTAGTGACGTAATAATTTTTCTTTTTGAACTTTGTCACCTAGTTTTGAAAAATGTAAAAAAAAAAAAAAAATTCGTTGCGATTTTTTTTATTTATTTTTGGAATCATTCGCTGAAGAGAAAAAAAAAATGCGTGGGTTAAAAATATTTTCTGGAAGTGTAGTCAATATTATTGTGATTGCGTAGCGATTTAGCATTTGCTGGAGAAAGACAGAGAGAGAGAGAGAGAAACAATTTAATATTTAACTTGTTGAAATAAATAATAAATTACTTAATCCTCCTAATAGTGTTAAAAAAAAAAAAATTATTCGGCAAGAGGTGTGCCAAAAAAATGTATGCGCATGCTCAGTAAGAGTAACAGGTACCACAACGAGTGCCTTTGTGATTAATGCTTCAATAAAAATAATAATAATATTTTTATTGTGAAGAAAAAAAAAGTATTTTGGATTAATTCGAGAGATTAAATTTTAATAATTATTTATTTATTTATTTTCAGAACTCAATTGAATGCATCGGGTATAACTTCCCCGCACAGTTGGCATGCTCCCGTCGTGTCAACCGGTCACTACATTCCCTCGACGACAAACAATGGAGCCGTGAGTCCTCTCAATCATCACAGCAGCGCGAGTGCCGTAGCTTATCACGCGGCAATGAACGGAATGCTGGCTCATCACCATCAGACGAGTCCGCAGCTCCATCATAGTCTTCGCGATATGCAAAATCATTCCCCTAGTGCATTACACCACGGTCTCGATCCTCGTAACGATCCCTCGGGAGGAGAGGAAGACCCGCAAAGTTCGGAAGACTTAGAGTTATTTGCAAAACAGTTTAAACAAAGACGTATTAAATTAGGTTTCACGCAAGCGGACGTCGGTCTCGCGCTTGGTACTCTGTACGGGAACGTATTTTCTCAAACAACGATTTGCAGGTTCGAAGCCCTGCAATTAAGTTTTAAAAACATGTGTAAGTTAAAACCGTTGTTACAAAAATGGTTGGAAGAAGCGGATTCTACGACGGGTAGTCCGACGAGCATCGATAAAATAGCCGCGCAAGGACGGAAACGTAAAAAACGTACAAGTATAGAAGTTAGTGTTAAAGGGGCTTTAGAACAACATTTCCTAAAACAGCCTAAACCGAGTGCTCAAGAAATAGCTTCTTTAGCCGATGGCTTACAATTAGAAAAAGAAGTGGTTCGAGTGTGGTTTTGTAATAGGCGACAAAAGGAAAAAAGAATGACTCCGCCGAACACGTTGGGAGGAGACATGATGGACGGTATGCAAGGAGGAGTGGGACCCCCGATGCACTACGGACACCACCAGGATTTGCACGGGAGTCCGATCGGAGGACACAGTCACAGTCCTCCGATGCTTAACTCACCAAATATGACACCTCACAGTTTGACGGATCATTAACAGAGGTTTTGGGGGGGACTTTTCTCTGTCTGCTAAAACTCTCTCTCTCTCTCTCTCTTTCTCTCTCGAGTGGAGAAAAATTTAAACAAACATCGAAAAAAAAAAAAAATTTCATACAATACCTGATGAAAAGAGTTTTAGATTTTGATTAATATTCGATTCGATGGATTTTTATTATTATTATCATCTTCATTATTATTATTATTTTTTTTAAATCTCTAAGGTAAAACGCGATACAATTTATTTACGTAAATGAAAATTACTTCAACGTATGCAATTTCCCTTTAATTTATGTTTCTTCTTCCACGTTCGCAACAGTGAATTGGTACGTGTCGTGCATTTCTTTTGCCATTAAAAAAAATTTCTTTTTTATGCATCCATTCGGCAACCGCGAGAGTCAATGATAACGCAAAATAATAATAATAATAATGAACTGTTCTAGAACGCGACTAGAGTCCTCCAGTTACCTTCCGACATACTCGTTTTGTATCCATTACGGAAACACGTTGACCAAATTTAACGCTAACGGTTAATAATCCAAACAATCGAATATAAACATTCGCGAATGTTCGAATTTTACGTGGCACTAAAAAAAAAAAATTTCGGATCGTTTACCTATCAACGAACGAACGTCTTTTAAATACAATAAAGAAAAAACAACAATAATAATAATAAAAATAATAATCGTACCTCCTTTTTTCCGTCGAAACGTTTTTGGTCTTGCCTCCTTTTCCTCCTCTCCCTCCTCCTCCGGTTTAGAAATTTCAAAAAAAAAAAAAGTTCCCAGTTTCTTTTCTTTTCTTTACCATTATTATTATTATTATCGTGTTTGGGAACGTTCCCAAGGCATCACCATAGCCGGTCACGAATGGCAAGAAAAAAAAGAAAAGAAAAGAAAAGAAAAACGAGGACGACGGATACATTCATCATAATGTATATATTTTTATCATTATTATCACCACCACCACCACCGCCACCTCCATCTTCTTCTACGTCATAATAATTATCATTATCATCGTCGTCGTCGTTTTTAAAACAATACGGCCACCAAAAAAAAAAAAAAAAAAAAAATTTTCTTTCTTTGACTTTCGTTCTGTTGGTTCATTAAACTGATTGTGTGTGTGGCACATTTGAGTTACGATCCATGCATAAAATTAAATAATAACTAAGTAATGAACGAACAGTGACGGAGTAAGGATAATATATTTTCATTTTAAACGTTCACCATAACAAACGCATTTTTTTTGAACATGATTAAATGGGACCAAACGTAACGATACGCATCGTGACGACGATGACGATGACTCATTTACACCCCAACCGAAAATTTCCCCCCCCCCGCCCTAAACAAACAATCAAATTATTATTATTATTATTAACGACGAAACAAACGTACAAACGAAACGACGATTGATCGGTTGTTGGATAACAAAAATTTGAAATTTTTAAAAAACAAATTCGTTAGATTTTTTTACTATTCGGATCTTTTTAATTAAAAACTATTGTCGTTTGTTGTAGTTGTTGGTAAAACAAATAAACAAACAAAATCAGGTTCAAATATTAATCAAGCGATTACTAAACGTTTTTTTTTTATTTGTCGGTTAAATATTCATTATTATTATTATTATTTTTTTTTTTAATGTCAACTAAAGCGCTATTTATAGTTTATAATTTTTTTAAATATAGCACTATTTATAGCGCTATAATAATAATTGCATACGTTGTTGTTGTTGTTGTTGTTGTTATTGTTGTTCACTTAAATAATAATAATAATACGTAAGTAAAAAAAAAATTCATCGATTGATCGATTGTATAAAAAATAATCAAAAGTCTGGAAAGATGGAGGAGAGTCTGCCCAAAAAAAATTTTTTTTTTTTTATATATAAATAATTTTTATTAATAATTAAACAAACGAAGAAACAAACGAACGAACAAACGTGAATGATGTCGTTTGTTTAAAAAAAAAAATGGTCGTCGTCGTAGTCTTAGTGATGTGACGTAACGATGATGATGATGATGATGATTATTGAAAAATTATCATCGTAGTAAAGATTTTTTTTTTTTCGTTTTTTTTTCTTTTGTCGGATGGAAAATTCTAGAAACTTTTTTTTTTTTTTTATACGTACGGGAAAAAGCGGAGGAAAAATAAACTAAGAACGAGGATAAAAAAAAAAAATGCAAACTTTTCGCCTGGAGAAAATAAAAATGGCGGACATATTTGTAAAATTTAAATATGTAATTTTTTAAACGTGGTGGCAAACATTGGTCGGTTTGTTTTTTTAACTGTATTTAATTTCTTTCTTTCTTTTTTTTTTTGTTTAAATATTATCTCTGTACTTATTATTATTATTATTATTATTATTATTATTATTATTATTATTATTATTATTATTATTATTATTATTATTATTATCATCATTATTATTATTATCGATTTTTTTTTAAATAAAAAGTAAAAAATAAAATTTTTTTTCTTTCTTTCTTTCTTTCTCTTCTTCTTCTCAATTTTCGTTTATTGTTTTATTATTATTATTATTATTATTATTATTATTATTGGTTTTCTATTGTTTTTGTTTTTGTTTGTTAACGGATCAATGAGCGAATCGTTCAATATATCGATCGATATTGTAATAAATCGATTTATAAGAAGTGAATGAAAGAAAGAAAGAATGAAACAAATCTATACTCGGTCATCGACGGTATTTAATAATAATAATAATAATTTTTTTTTGTACTAAAGCGAACGGACACACAAACGGACAAACGCGAATCCATTTCCGGTTTTTATAGAATTCATTTCCTTTTCCGTTTTTTTTATTTTTTTATTTTTAACCCGCGGTTCGTACCTGATTAAAAAAAAAAGAGTGGCACTTATTTTATTATTATTATTTATTTAATTTAATTAATTATCGACAAACGACGACGGATAATAATAATAATAATAGTAACGGTGGTGATGTTGATAATAATAATAATATTAATAATAATAATGATAATGTTAATAAATAAAATGTTCGTTTTTTTTTTATTAAAATTTTTTTTTTTTAATTTACTCGTGAATAATTTTTGTAAAAAAAAAGAGACACTCGATGATAATGATAATAAACTTGGAAAAAAAAAACAAAAGTTATAAATAATAATAATAATAATAATAATAAATATTTTATTAATGAATATAAAATGATGATAATAATAATAATAATAATGTGGTTAGTGATTATTATTATTTTTTACATTTTTTTTTTTTTTTAATATTTGTTTTTATTTGTTTTTTTTTCTTTTTTTTTTTGTGAAAACGTCGGTTTTATTTATGAAAACGTATACACATACACACACACACACAAGCACTCACACACGTGTAAACACACGCACACACACACACACACAAACACGTACACACGCGCGAAATTTTGTAGAAAAAAAAAAACAAAAAAAGAAAAAAAAGAAAAAAAATTATACAAACAAGAACAATGATGTGTATTTGTAACTTTTGTAAATAAATAAATAAATAAATAATAATGATAATGATAATGATAATACTGATAATAATAATTAAGCATTTTTCTTTATTCCCCCCCTTATCGCCACCGCCACTCGATCGCCGTCGCCGTCGGTGCAACTTTTATCTTCGTAGTACGACGAATACGTTTCGCGAAAAAAATTTAAATTTTAAATTTCGCGCCATTTTTTTTTTGTTTTTCACGACGCCACCTGAAAATTAATTAACTAATTAATTAATTACGACGTCGTCGTTAAACGTCAACTACGTCACACGAAAACCAGTTTTTTCGTTTCCTCACGTAAATAATAACTCGAGATGGTGACAAAATAAAAAAAACTTTTCCCGCGGATTTCGTCACCGCCATCGCCGCCACCGCCACCGCCACGTGCTCACGTGTGAACGCACACACGCACATCATAGGCCGTAATCGAAACGTAACGTCCGTCCGCCATTTTGTTTTTTTTTGTGTTTTATTCACCGTCGGATGATTTTCCACACTCGGATTGACTTTTTTTTTTTTGACGATTTTTTTTGACCGGTGATTGGTCAAGTGGCACAAGAAAAAATTCCCCCCTTTCCTCCCTCATCACCCCCTCCCCCTTTCTCCTTTCACTTCGTAACTACGTCATCATCATCGATCGATCGATACTAAAAATAAAAAAAAAAAGAGGAAAAAATCGGTATATGATTTGAAATTTTAAAAAATACCTTCGGGCTTTTTATTTTAACGTTGTCGGTTGTTGTTGTTGTTGTTGTACAACCAAAACAAATTTAATAAAACAACAACAACAAACATACCACCACGAATTAAAAAAAAAAAAAACGAATGAACACTCCCTTTCCTTTGTAAAGAAACGCGTAGCTGCCTGGCAGAAAGAAAAAAAAAACGAGTCTGAGCTTAGCATGACTTTTTTTTTTTCTTCTCTGTGGGCGGAAGTTTAACATAACCTGGGTGTCACCCAAATGACTCAGGTTTCTTTTAAAGGTTTACCATCTTATTATTATTATTATTATTAATAATGAAAAATTTGCGATGATATTTTGTATAAAAAATAAACCGGTTATGTTAAAGTAAAAGAAGAAGAAGAAGAAGAAGAAACCTTAAAAAAAACCTTCGGAGATGACGAAGAAGGAAGAGGAGGTAGTGGTAGTGGTAGTAGAAGAAGAAGAATAGGTAGTACCTCCGGGAGAAGGAAAAAGGTGAAAGAAAAAAAAAGAGGCGAAGGAATCAGTAATTGGTCACGGATGTTAACCCGTTGACGCCCGTGAAGAAGATGAAAAGTCGTCGTATTCGGATGGCCTGACACGGGGTGTCTCTCTCTCTCTCTCTCTAATGGTATTTCGGGTATGACCGAAGGATGGTTCATAGACTCCGGAGGACATTAATGTAAGATCATGATTTCTTATATTGTTTTCGTCGCCCGGTTGTTTTGTTATATTTTATCGCGTTTGTTTGAATGAATGAGTTTTCTATCCCTCCCCTCCCTCTCTCCTCTTC